TGGAGCTAAAGTGAGTACAAGCCAAGGCTAGGATTGGGGTGTCTGAAGAAGTATCCTAATGGACATTGGCTTCATCAGAGAAGCTAGCTCTGGTGCTTAATGCTATTAAGTATCACATCAGAAATCTGTCCCACACTCTGCTGTGATTTTTGATAATTTTCTGTCAAGATCAAGTTGCAGTGTTCTAGGTAAAGAATACAATAGAATGTACCAAGCAGGGTAGATTCTGAAACCAGCAACAGCATCTGCTCTGCCTCCCCTAGCCAAAACAGGTGGTGACTGTGGGTGGAAATATGGTGAATCCTGTGGAAAGTAAGTGTAGAGACATGGGAAGGAACTGGGGTGGGGGGGTGTGTGTTATAGAATGATCCCAAATGAGATCCAGTGTGATGGTGATATAAAAATGCAATCTATAGGAGAGCAGGAATCACTAGGTTTGTGGCTTTATAGATCAAAGACTTGATTTTTTTAAAACTGATTTTTTTGCACCTCTTGGAATTATTTTCTTATCCTCATTACTATTCAAAATGTCTCTCTGTCATCTGATAATTTCATCAGTTACAGTCTCTTCTAAATCACAGTGAAAGTCTTGATCTGAATTCTAACACAGCACTACTATGATCCATTTTAAACACATTAAGTACCTTTTCCTGCTCAGTAATTTGCTATTTTTATTCCTTATTCACAATTCTTAAGCCAGTTCTCAAATTATGTGGGTGCTGTTATGTCAAAAGAGATGTGAATTAGCTATATTCAGAAATCTGTGATTCAGTCTTCCAAATGTTTGTTTAAAGCTAAGTATGTTGGTTCTGTTACTTTCCTTTTACTCACTGATGTTGTAAGTCTATATAAAATTCCATTCCTTATAAACTCCAGGGCACATATAACATGAAGGATAACAGAGCAGTCTGTTATCCTTCATCTGTTTCAGCAGCTTTTTGTGCTTGGAATTTGTTTCTAGCAGGAAAATAGTCAGATTTACAGAAAGTAATTGCTATGATCATTCTTTTTCTGAGGTTTGGTCTCCCATTTGATTCTGAGATTGCTGTTTTCTGTGACTTATTCTCAGTCATTGTGAGGAAAGATGACTTCAAGTCAGCTTTATAATGGAAAAAAATCTTATATTTTCCATTCTTCTTTCATCAATAAAGGTACGTGGGTTAGTTTTCCAGATGTACTTCACTACTTTTTTTTATTTTTCAGTGTTTTTACAGTGTTCTATCTACCAAACTCAATTTTGTGCATTTGATATTTAAAATTTAGCAGATGTAGATTATGTAAAAAATCTCGTACTGGGGTTGGTGATCTTGACCTGTGGCCTGTGGACACTTGCGATTTCCAAATGTCTTAGGCTGTAATGCAAGATGTAACCAGAAGTATGTATTCTATTACTTAAAACCAGGAAGGGCAGTGTTCTTTATCTCCTCCCCATCCCTCATAAATTCAGGGAGATCTCTTCTGTTAATGGGCCATTGAGTCTCACTGCATCATCCCATTGTGAGATGCTCCATCCAGGGGGAGGAGCCAAGCATTCTTACCTGGATATCATCTGAAATTTAGAACACCACAATTAGACTTTCTCCACTGGATTCCCAGAGGAAGACAGGTTCCATCTACACCACCACTGGACCTTCAGAGGAAAACTACATCCTTCTACAGGGTCACTGCTTCAGCAGAACCACATCTGTCACTCTAGGAAGACTGCAGCCACCATTTAATCGACTGCTACCAACATCCTGACCAACAGGGTGTCAGCTTGTATTCTGACTCGGTCAGCATTTTCTTTGTACTACTGCATTTTTATTTTAACTTTCCTGGTAAAGAACTGTTATTCCTATTCTCATATATTTGCCTGAGAGCCCCTTAATTTCAAAATTATAATAATTCAGAGGGAGGAGGTTTATATTTTCCATTTCAAGGGAGGCTCCTGCCTTCCTTAGCAAATACTGTCTTTCAAACCAAGACACCAAGTCAGCAAATGATTGAAAACCACTGGTTTAGCTCCCCAGTCTCACCTTCCCTACATATCAAATGAGGCTGCACCCTGGATCTGGTTTGGTGGGACACCAGTAATGTCAGTGTTCATGCAGCACTTGAGTCTGTGGAGGGTTTGAATAGGGACAATATTGTCCCAGGCACCACTCTGTTCCCCAAAATCTAAACTTACCTACAAAAAGAGATGAAAGTAAATGAGATGGTAGGGTTGCTGAGATGTATTTGATCTGTCTTTTCCATGCTAAGTGATGTGGTTGCAGAATCTGAAACAATAACTCTGACCCGCCCAGCTCACCTCAGTGTCTGCCAACTCAGGTGCCTTATGCTGATATTTTAAAATATAGACAAAGTTAACTATTGCAGTGCCTATAAATATAAGAAATCAAAAGGGGATGGAAGGGCTGAGTATTCAGCTGTGGCTATGATTGCATCTCAGCCCTGGGAACACTTGAGCTGGGGGTCTGCCCATTCCCCTGCTCCCCACTCCAGACAGTAATGTATTTAGCAAGACTGAGCCTGGCATCTGACCTCTGCTCTGGAACATCCCTTTTAAGTGTCTGTGATGGCAAGATAAGCTTACTGAGGCCTGTAAGGCTTATGAGCTTGTGGATCCCAAGGAAAGGGTGCAAGTCCTAGGGAGTCCAGGGAAGGTGTGTTGCTCTACTCTGAACAGTTCTGTGCAACTACCTCTTCCTTCACTCAGCTGGGTTTGGAAAAATGATATTACATTTTACTTTTTTCTCTAGTTTGTTCATTTATCAAATGGAATGATTCAGATATGGCTGCATGGTTCCTTATTGCTTTTAGAGATGTATTTTTTATTTGTTTTCAGGAAGCTGTGCAAGCCATTAAGGAGAGAACTAGATGTGTTCCCTCACTGTATGCACAAGGAGTTTGGTTTCTGATGTGTTTGTATAGTGGATTTTAATCCCCATCTGTGGCACTGCAAGACTGATTAGTATGGCTTGGCTTTCCTGGGACAACTTTCTTCTAATAAATGAACTCCCACAACTTTCATATAGAACAAAAACATATCATTGACCTTGCTTTGCAGACACCATCTAGCTTTTGAAAGTTCAGAAATATTCACTGTTTAGCCAAAGATGTAAGTACAGGCAGAACTACAAATCCACAAACAGTAATGCAATCTCCACCAACAGGTTATTGCTGTTTCCTGTACAGGATTACAAACACTCCTCAGTGTATGAGCCAAAGCACTCCAAAGAAGGGACCTAGTTGACTTACAGTCCACAGGGATGGACTTAGAAGAACTGGAGTTGAAAACTGCTCTGTCCATCCTGGGTAAAATCATGCAACTTGTTTTTTTTTGATGTTAAATTCATGGCCATGGTATTTGAATACCTGACATCTCCTTGACACCTATTACTGAATACCTGGCCAACAGTATCCCTCCCTGTCCCAAGCTGCTCTAGGATAAATTGGTTTTGTAATGCCATTCCTTAACTGTTAAAGCCTTTAAAAGTGAAATTGGTGTCTGAGGGACTAATCAATCCCTCACCCACTGCACACGATGCTTCTTGAAACCAGCCATTTAATCAGCTTTCCTGCACTGATGTATGTTTTCTTCTCAATGCTTTGAAGGTGACTTCATTATTGAAGCAATGACCCTGGTGCTGTGAGCTCAGAATGATGTGAAAGCCTGGCTTTGGCAAGCAGGACAGCTTGACTTGTATCTTGGCAAAGCAGGATCCTCTTGACTCTTTCTGCCTTTGTCCAAGGTTTCAGGTAGGGTCCCTCTCTTGTCCTTCTACTTATGGGTGTCAGGTATTATTTGTCTTTTCTAGTCTCAGGTTCTGCTGCTATCTTTGAAAAAGTTCAAGAGTCTACCTGGGCATCAGCTATTATCAAGCTGCATCATCCATCAGTAAAATCAATTTACACTTCTTCCCATCTCATTAACTTTATCCTTTACTTTCTCTGTCTGCTGAGGTTCAGGGTTACAAAAATCTGGGCCTTCCCTATTTCTGAAATGGCAGCTCCTTTTTGGTGCCTGACATTTCTTTTGGGAAAGTGACATCAGAATTAAACAGAAAGACCCTTTCTAAGTGCTAGGCTGTAAATGAGAGAAGTGAGGTCAAAAACCAAAACTATAAACTAGTCTCAGAGAAACAAATCAATCCTCTGCTAGGCACACTCAACTGAATGTACAGGAGCTTCATTCAGGGGTAAAGTTGGAAATACATCAGACCTAGAAAAGGCATTCAGAGAAAGAAAAGGACTAATACAAACTGAAATTCATCTGTGCTCTGGAATACCCTTTCTTTAAGCCCCAGACAACTCTTGCTTTCATCAAAGCCCATTCATCCTATATTTTACTTCATTTCCTTCTTAATGGCTCATCCTGAACTTACCTTTCCTTCAGTTCCTTTTGCCCTTTGTTGCTGGCCTTCTGTCTTCCCAGGGACATGCCTATCTGATCTGTTGGAAGCAGGGCTGGCCATAAATGCTAAGGGGAAAGACAACTTCGGTCTAAACTGTTTGCCTCCTTGTTCGACTCAAGAATGCAGTGTGGAATCTGCCAGGTTTTTTTTTTTTGAGAGTTTCAGTTTAAGACTCTTACAAAATTTCCTGTATTTAAATAAGAAGGAGGAAAAAGAAACAAAGACGTTTATGAAGGTGTGTTATCTTCAAAACAGGGATTTGGCCAAAGTTCACCCCCTGGGAGAGGTAGTCTAGCTGTATGAAAGAGGTAATCGTGATGTTGGAGATGTGTATGCAAGTTAGAAGAAAGTGGTGCATACAGGCAATGTGGATCAAGGAACTTAACAGCAATTGTAGCTACTGGAATCTGATAGAGTGCTCTTGAGGGGCTGTACCCAGATTCATTACCTTTATTAACCCAAGATGTCAGGTCCTGCCCTGTGTACAATCATTTTGGTCTTTGGGAAACTCTGGGCTTTCCTGAATCATCTTATGACCAACATGAGATTCATGGCAATGTCCCATGGCAAGTCCTGAAGAAACAAACAGGAATGAGTCAGACATGTCAAACAGCTCTTTACATCTTTGAAGCAGCCTCTGAATTCCAGAAAGGGAGACAGGCCCAATGTGTTCTCAAGGTCTTATCACAGAAACGAATTCACAGCTTGCACAATGCCTGCTAAATACTGAGAAGGGCAGGAGAATTCAGAGGAGCGGTGGCTGTGCAGCTGCATGTCACTTCTTGAACTCTGCAACAAAAAGGCAGACTGAAGGAGGTGTGGAAAGTTCTAGATCAGGTTTGAAGAGCACATTTGAACAATTAAACAATTTGTTTGGCTGGCCAGGTGCTCAGGAGACAATGTGGCATTTGGATTAATGGGTGCCTGAGAGAGATTGCCATACCTTCCACCAGGTATTGCAGGCAAGGCATCCTCCCAGCCAGCACATCCACTCATCTCAGCTGTGCAGCTGCCAAAAAAAGTGTGGTGTCACAGTCAGTGGAGAGGCAGAGGAGGTGGAAGGTGGATGAGAAGACGAGGAGGATGGAAGAGCAGAAGCAGTGATAGAGGCAGCCCTGGTAAGGTATGACAGAAGGTGCAGTTTGAACTTGCTAAGCCTACTGACCTAACTGTTGCAGTGCAGCATTCCAGGCCAAAATGCTGTCATACGAGGGAAATTGAGTCACCAAATTCATTCCTCTGCCGTTTCATGCATCACATGGTGCAATGCCTGACAAAGTCTGTTTGGTTTGGTTTTGTTTCTGAGGTTCCCATAGGGACTTCCAAGTCCTCCCTTTCTAATAAGTGATTTTCTGCTGCTTATTTATAGCTAGTTTTCCCTTAAATCATCCCTTATCTCTCAGAGTTGTTTGCCCTGCCTGTTGGTGTATTGACATACAAGTTATATCCACCTTGGCTTCACTTTGCAGACTGTACAGTCTAAGCAGTAGTTCAGCCTGTCTAGGAGAGCTGAGTTGCACACACTGTATAATCAGAGTCTTTCAAGTGACAGCCTGAAAAAATCCTGTGGACTTTCTGGTACCTTTCATTCAAAGTATTTAACCAGTGCCAATCCTTCCTGAGTCCTTTTGTAGCAAAGCAGTTCTCTTTGCTGGAAGGATAGGAATTTCAAGCCCACAAATCAATATGACTTCCATATGCTTGGAGTTGGGCATGTGCTAACTGTTTTTCTGGATCAAGATTAGAGTTCTCACCACTTGACAAGATTCAGCTTGTGGTTCGTGAAGTACTGCCAGTTTGTCTGGAATTAAAGATTTATATAAAGTATCAATTTTAAAAAAAGGCAATTCCCTGTTCCAGGTTTATGTGTGTACTGCATTACTTAATAGCTGCTTGGGAAACATGAAGGGTAAGGTGAAACAACATTGCTTGTATCACACTTCATGTCATGTGAGAGCCACTCCATGTTCCCAAGGAACTGACAACTCTCTATATGCAAAACCAAGATGGGAAGGGATAAATAAAGGTGCAGAGATGGGATTTCCAGGGTCAGCACCGCTTGATTTCTGAATGCAGGGAATATTCACTTCACTAGCAATGCTTTCATGCATCGTGATGCTTTTTCTGGGGATAAATCTTATATAAAACAATTATAGGGGAGCTTAAATAGAGTACTAAGAATTTTTCTTGGCCTTTGTATTGCTGATTTCCAGCTTGCAGTGACTGACACCAGATTTTTTGTGTATGGATCCGCCAGAAATGTCCGGACAGGAATTCCTGGCTTAAGTCGACTGACCCCCGAGGAGTACTGAAGGACTGATAGGAATCTGGGATGACAGGTGCAAATCCAAAGCTGCAGGTTTTCTCAGCAGAAAAACCGAAGTGCGGTGAGGAAGCAATACCACGTATCGTTCCGCAGGGCTGGGCGGTGGGAGAGGAGAAGCAGCACGGGTGAGCGGTTCCTGCGGTTCGGCAGCGGGGACCGGAGGGTTGCGAGCCGGGCCGCGGGACGCAGTGTCCG